TGTATGTATGTATGTATGTATGTATGTATGTATGTATGTATGTATGTATGTATGTATGTAGGAATGTATGCATGTAGGTAGGTAGGTATGCATGTACGTTCGAATGCATGCATGTGTTACGTGTATCATGTAAAATCTGAGTTCATATCGTAAAAGTTCATTCATTCATTATCGAAATTCATTGTACCCCATGGGTTGCAGTGACGGCGAGGGGCAGCTGGTTCAAAACCGCAGTTAAATGAACAATTAGGATATTTTGGATTCTAAGACATTATTATCCAAAATCTTCTGTACAGTCCAGTCATCTGATCCATGGTTTGTCCCTAAGGCTCCTCGCCTGTTGTCTAAGAGAAAAAATTTTGAAATTCTTTGGTGTTAAGATCGTCTGCTTCTTGCAAATCATGGCGTCAGGTAGGCATTACGTACGACTGTTTTGCTCATTTCAATAGCACCCTTCCTGTCCCTTCATGGCGCTTATGCTCCTTAATACTTATGATTTAGATTATAATAGGCTACATGTAAGAGGTCTCGATGAAGCACTCTACTAAAAACTCTCTAGTCAAAGTTTCATTAACACTAAACGGCTAAATTGCTTAAATTCCTTAATGATGTCAAAGCCAGGATGTTCCTCATGATACGAAGTTTCGACATTCAAAAGTGCAGCTAATCACAATGACGTGGCTTCAAAATGTCCGCAATATATGAAACTGTGATTGATAATACTGACAAGTCGTTGTCCTCTGTGGCATCTGAGCGTTGTTCATTAAAATTTTCAGCAGAAGTACTATGCATGAACAAAATAATACAAAACAGTAAAGCAAACATATTATAACGTTCGGTAAGCATAACATTGGCAGAAAAACGCGTAGCACGTGTCAGGTTTTGTCTCTGACCACGTGTACGTCGAAAACGTGGGTTGAATGCTTCTTTTGCCCAGACTATGGCTATGGCTGACTGCCAATTTGCTGTACAAACACCGACGAAGCATGGTAACGGTCGAAGACCGAGTTCTTGCTTGGTCTCAACATCCAACTGGACAACGCGGCCAGCAGGAAACATTCGAAAATCAGGAGGATTTGAAGCCAGACTAAAAATGTATTCAGAGTAGCGAGCGGCAACACGTCTACATCTATTGCATACAGCTGCTTCGAGCGTGGGCCGAAAGCAGGTAATCACAACGCAGAACTTTCCACGCAAACAGCTGCACTAACGGACTCTGAATGCTGTGCAAGACGATCAGAACCTGAATCATGACCTTGATTGGTCGGATGCAGAAGTGGCTCAGCGGCTCGGCAGCGACCCTCGTGTAAATCGTCACGCCGTACAGAGCCAGCATCGAGGAAACGGCGTTGATGAACATGGAAAACG